GCAGGAATGATGCATTGGCTGGTTGATAATGGGTACGTTGTAGTGTGCTATGACCATATAATTTGTGCACCTCTGAATTGATTGCTGTAATTTCTTGTTTGTTGGAGAAAAAAAGTTTTCATTTCACATTTCATATAGATAAACATGCAAGTAGAGGGGTTGTACTTAGTTACATGCTATTGACTAATAAACTGAGATCTGTTTTATTTGTAGTGTTGCTCTATTTACCTTAAAATGTTATTCCAATTGTTGTCATCGATATTAGCTTCCAGTGTTCTGCATTTGCTCCTGCCTCGCATAAAATGTTCATGGTCACAACAGAATGTATACCTTGTTGCATGATACGCACTTGTGTCTACTCATAGTGTTAGTGTAGTCTTCAGAGGATACACAAAATATTCTGGTGTTTCGGACAGGCATTGGCATATTTGGTTTTTATCAGACTTTTTTTTCCTCTAATGAAAGAAGAAATCACAATAAGTTTGGATGATAAGGAATCCTCCAACACATAAGATTGAAACACAAAGACTAAGAAAAAACAAAAATAATAATGCAGCTGCGCTGTCCAATCTTGCAACTTATCTGTTAGGCAACCCCTTAGAAAGATCATTTGTTTACAAATTACCCTAAATGGAAGCATAGTAGTCAATCCCGTGTAAAATAAGCAGTAGTGGGTAGCAGGATGAATGCTATTATGAGATTTTAATATACACAACATAAGTTGTACTACACATACATCATATAAGTTACTCCCTGTTTACGTTCGTCACCTTCATTGACTCACGCACATAGGTTAAATCTCTCTCCAAAATTAATTCCACCTTTATGCTGACTTCAAAGAACACTCAGTTATGAAATGACACTCCCTGTTTTATGTTGGATTGATATTTATGTAATTACACTTGCGATAATTGACAAGTTTCTCCAGATTGTTTGACTTTCTTTTTGTATTCTGAATTATTTGAGAAAGAATTGATATGTGCATTGAATCTAATTGTATTTTAAAAATCTTAGATTTCTTGTGTTGGATTTTAAATACTATGAAAGCACCTGTGTTAGTGCTAGCGTTGTTAGTTTGAAATGTTTGATTTAAATAAAAGTCATGTCTGTAAATTGTCATTGAATGTTTAAAATCATACTATCGTACACTGTAACATTTTATACTCATGTTCGGTGCTTTTAACCTGAAAAAAGTACCTGTTGGCTTGTTATGTTGCAGACAACTAAACCTTGAAGAGAATGTTGCAAATATTTGGCCAGCATTTACATCGAATGGGAAGGATGCCATTAAGGTTCGCTTTTATTTTTAAAGTTAATAATGAGAAGAATGCTGAAATGAGATAGAAACTAGAGAGAGATGTTGAAAAGAAAAAGTGTTATCTAAGTATTTATACATTCTAGTGTGTGGGCCATTTGGTCAGCACAATAATCTCCTGCATTCTACAAGCCTAATGCAAATACATTAACACTCCCCCGTTAATGGAGAAGACAGCCTTTGCTGAAACAGGAAAACAGCCTCTCTAGAAAAGAGGGGCAGCTGCCTGAAAGAGGGAAAAACTAATGCAAGGTCTGGGCTTTGGATACCACATAAATATGAAGGTTATTCTAAAACTAGAGAGACATACTAGAAAGATGCTGAAAAACAAGTGTTCTCTTATTTTCTACAGGGTAGTAGGAGGAGACATGCATATTAGAACATTCTAGTGTGTGGGCCATTGCTCCAGCATAATAATCTTTAGGTTCTACAAACCTAATATAACATAAAGACATTAACATATAAGAATTCAAAATGTTTTAATCTTCTGTATCAGGTTCATCATGTGCTTAACCATACATCTGGTTTGCACAATGCAATGGCAAACATAGTTCAAGAAAATCCTTTTCTGATGTTTGATTGGGATGAATGTTTAAATCACATTTGTATGTCGGTACCTGAGACACAACCAGGCAAGGAGCAGTATTACCATTATTTATCTTTTGGCTGGTTGTGTGGTGGAATCATTGAGGTATGTTTGCTTGCCCTTGTCTATCAAAATTTTCTATTCCTATATTCTTATTCCTGTTCAAAAATTGTCTAATTTTATGCTTCATTAGAGTTTCTGAACAAATGAGGACAAAAGCAGAGGATGATTTTATATGTATAAAAAAGCTTAATTTTAAGTTGATTAAAGAAAGGGTAATAGATTTTTTTTTTTTTTTTTTAAATAGGAGAGTATAAGAATGATATATATTTGAGTACTATTCTCATGCTTGTAATTGTGCTATTGCAAAAAGCAATATATGGTGATTGGTTGGTGGGTATGAGTGTGGAGTTAAGACCTTGAACGTGTATGGATTATCTGTTTGTGCTTATGACATCCAGTTGCTGATGACAATCAGTGTAGGACTATATTGATGTTGTTGTTGCCTATTTATATAAAATAGTAATATTGTCATGGTTGGAGTCAGTTTTTAACTAATTATTTTTTACAAAGTTGCTAGTTACATTTTTCTACAAGAGATTTTTCTATCAACGTTCTAATAATTTATTTCGATAAAAACAGCATGCATCTGGCCAGAAATTTCAAAAGATCCTTGAAGAAGCAATAGTTCGTCCCCTCCATCTTGAAGGAGAACTGTATATAGGGATTCCCCCAGGCAAGTTTTGATGAATAATTATTTTTGTCTCGTAGTCTGACAATTGAATTTGACGTGCATACTATGAACTCATATTATTTTATCTTTTGCATAACCCATAGTAGTTGGATGCAAAGAAATTTGGGACATGCTTGGTTTCAAAAAGTATTTTCTATTTTCATTTATTTTCACAAATAATTACAAACTGTGACGTTTATATTTTGTTCTCAAAGATTTTCATATAAAACATGAAAACAACAAAATGTTTTTATTTTTATTTTTATTTTTATTGTCTCTTGTACAAATCTTTAACATCGTGTAACAAATTATAGCAGAGTGCCACTTTTTTATTATTTGTGCAAACTGAAAAATAGAATACATTTTCTTAAACCAAATACGCCCAATATCTCCAATTTGATTTCTTGGTAGATTGTGACGATACTTCATTGCTTATATCTTCAGGGGTGGAATCACGTCTTGCAGCTCTAACTGTAGATACAGATGATTTAAACAATATCTCAGCACTTGCTAATCGTCCTGAACTTCCCTCCTCCTTTCAGCCACAGCATATTGCTCAAATGGCAACTGCTTTACCCGCTGTTTTCAATACACTGAATGTTCGCCGTGCGATCATACCAGCAGCTAATGGACACTTATCTGCCAGGGCACTTGCACGTTATTATGCAGCCCTAGCTGATGGTGGCAAGATACCACCACCTCATTCCTCTGCTTCTAAGCCACTACTTGGAAGCCATCCCCACACCCCCAAATTATCTTCTAAACAGAAAACCCCCCAAAAGCGAAAATGCCTTGGACGGAAGCAACCAACTGTGCCTTCAGTCAGTACTAATGCTAGTTATGAAAAGGTTTCTGGTTATGAAGATGAAGAGGTTGATTTGGGCAGCAATACTAACAGAGAGAGTAGCAGTAGTGATGATGCCAGTAGCAGCAGAATTGGTAATAATCTGAGAACCCATGTTGCTGGTAATAAGGTCTACAGGAATCCTAGGATTATTGATGAATTCTTGGGTTCAGGAGAGTACAAAAATTTAGCTTTGCCAAGTGGAGGTTTTGGCCTAGGATTTAAGAGGTATAGTTCTAAAGATGGGTCATCCGTTGCCTTTGGTCACTCGGGAATGGGTGGCTCCGTAGGGTTTTGTGATGTCACCAATAACTTTTCTATCGCTGTGACACTCAACAAACTGTCCTTTGGAGGTGTCACTGGAAAAATTGTCCATCTTGTTTGTTCAGAGTTGAATATTCCTGTTCCGGATGATTTCTCCAGATTCATGGTTCAGCAAAGAGGACCGGATATAGCGAGGCCCATAATTAATTGAGGGTGGAAGGTTTTTTTAACCCCTTTTCCATCATAATTTCGTGTATAATTTTAAATTTTACGTAAGTCCTTGATGATTATATATATACCGTGAATCTTTTGTGCCTTATTTATTTTGGCTGTTGTGCTTTGGATATCTGAGGTAGCTATGTTCCCCTTTTGTTCCCAAGAATAATGCATGTAATTATATACCCGCCAAGTTGTAATTTTAATAATCTAATTTATCAGAACTGTCTAGTATTTATGATTTTTTGTCCAAGAGTTTCTGTTTTCTTTGTTAAACGAATTTGAATTGGTGGGTATTTTGTTAGATCCTTTATAAGCACTTTTTGAGCGTTAACATCTGTCTGGGTGAGCTTTTGAAAAGTAACACCTAAAATTTTAAACACAAAAAATGGAAGAGAACTTGCAGGACAATCTTACCAGTTGTGGGGTTTGCAACTCCCAGTAAATGTATCTACACCCGTTCGAAATAAGTTACTTACGAATGCGTTCTTGACATTCAATTGCAATAATAAGAATCACAATTTACATTTTTAGACTTGAAGTGAATTTTGAGGTGATTGTTTTAAAATTAATATTTTTGAAAAAAAATCATACTTTCTTTGCAAAATTTGGTAAAAATTGATATAATAAAAGATAATTTATTCAATTCAAATTATTGACTTTATCTTCAAGTAATAGAGAGTAATATGGGTAAATTGCAATCAAATGTACCATTTTATCTCTAAACGAGCTGATAGGATAATAAAGAGTTATATCTCCTTATTAAACAAAACAAGAGAGAAATTGAAAATTTATGAATTTTAAATAAAAACAAGTGATAGAGTTTGAATCTCATTCACTAAGGATAAAATACACTTTAGTTACTCTTATATTAGGTCATATTATAATAAAAATTAAAATATTAATGCTAAATATTCTTCTTTTTCCTTCAGCCTAAAATAAGGGCTTGTATTGTTTTATACTTGGAGTAATTCTCACTAGTTAATTACAAATATTTAGATGATCCATTGTATAGTGTACATCATAGTAACCAACTTATCTTTATACATATTAACATATGTGTTTCACCTTCTTCATCCGTTAGCATCTAATATGAGTGTTTATCATAAGATATGAGAAATTGATGTTGTAGTCTCTAAATATTTTTTTTTGTAGTATTCAAAGGGTCATCTCAATACTGAAATGCTAGTTGTCGTTATAAGTAAACTCTAATTAAGGTAAAAAAAAATTATATATTCAAACTTTCTGTTGCTCTAAAATACATATTTTAAGGAGAATTTAATGGTTCTCCAATTTGGTCACAACATTGGATTTGATGGAATCAATTCCATCTTATGATACATCACCTTGATCTTAATTGTACATGCATGTCAAGATAAAATGATGGTGACAAAATTTTCATTGCATGACTGGAATCGTACCTCGAAAATTATGTTGGTCTCAAATACGATTAAATTAATCGTATGAATTCTTAATAACTAAGTGAATTTTGTTGGGCAATTTACTTGAGCAAGGAACTCAGATCCTCAATCTGGATTACTTAGTCTACCACGAAGGGCTTTATCACTATTTTGTGATAGAAATAAATTTGTAATGGAAAGCCACAAAGAAAATTATTGTAAATAATGCGATAAATTACTTAATACATAAATTTAGATTATCTGCTTGGAGACTTGGTTTACATTGAAAAATATCGCATTTAGAATGTTTCCATATATAGCATAAGCATTAGTTGTTTTTTCTTCTTCTTAAAATTAACCACCCATGTAATTTATCTTAATTTTTTTTATGCTAAGCTAAATATTACCATAAGAAAAAATTATTTTAATTTTTAACGGTCTATACTTAAAAGATGAATCAATCGACAAGACAGTCGCATAAAAAAATGTTAGCTCAGCAATAATTTTTTGACAATTATTTTTATATATGATAAATTAATGAGTAGTCTTATTACTATCTAACATTCAACAATTATTTTTCATCGGATTGCATTATATCATTAATTTGGATTTTTTTTTTAAACTCAAGGGACACTTCCAATAATTAATAGCAATGACATGTATCACACCAAGTCTATTTCAGGAAATCAATCACCAATGAGCTGTATTACCCACTTCTTTTTTGTTAACTAAATTTAACAAACAAGCAAACTAAAGGGAAAAAAAGAAAGAAAAAAAGAAGAAGAAAGAAACTGTTTAGTTCAACACACAACATGCTAATTAAGTATTCTAGATAGTTTGGTACAAGTAGAAAAAGTTTTTTGTGCATGGAAAATAGCAACAATATTTTCCATGATATAACCTACAAATCTAATAAGGCATACATAAAAGTTGGATATCTAACTAGACAGTACTACAAAGTTAATGAAAGGCTTAAGGCCACAAGGTAGTCATAGAGCTCACAACATTATCGTTATTGAAATCATTGCAAGGTATATCCAAGCTACTAACTGTGATTCCAGCAGCACCATATGAAGCATCATTGTTATTATTCCCTTGGATGGTGATGGTTGGTGAAACATGTGCCATGCCACGTAGAGTACTATTCGTGTTGAGCTGTGGTGGGGTGCCTAATTGACACTGATTTTGATGAAGCTGATTGCTAAAAGGGAGTGAGCCCCGAGTGACCATATCCTCAGCTAACTTAACCTAAATTCATGAAGAAAACAACTTCTTTATTAGCTAGAAAAACATGGAGTATGTAATTGAAAACACTTGTTTCATGTAGAGTTGTCAATTTGAACCAGCATATTATAGACCAACATATTTTTGGACTGAATTGGGTTGGGCCAATATGATACTAGGTTGAAAATTTTAGGCAGATGATAAACACACCTCCACTCTCGTATAAACACACCCCCTTTTTAAAAAAAAATATATAAAATGTCTAAATTACCCTTTTAAAAAAAATGAAATTCCTAAATTTACACCTCCCTTTCCCGCACCTCCTTTCCCCGCACCCCACACTCCACACCCCTCTTCTTCCCAAAGCCTCTTTCTGCTCAATGTCATTAAGCAATATACTTTTACAGTCATTCTGAATAGAAAAAAAGGACTAGCCCCACCATAACCAGCATAAGAAAGGTTCTTTTACAGTCATTAGCATTCCGGAAAGTACTTTCCGGAATAGTAAAATTATTGTTCATATAATTCCGGAAAGAACTTTCCGTAACAGTAAGAAGAAGAAGAAAAAGAGGAGTGCCAGAAAGAGAAAGAAGAGGGGTGTGCGAGGTGCGGGAAAAAAGAAGAAGAAGAGGAGTGCCAGAAAGAGAAAGAAGAGGGGTGCGCAATGTCAGCAGGTAGTCTTGTAAGAGAAAGACTCTTACTTGTTCTATGGAAAGACACACTAGTACAAAAATGACTTTTAAAATCGGAGTTTTAAAATCAGTCATAAGATAGTTATTTTAAAAGTGACGCGGTGACCTGTACTGCAATAGAACGGCCCCAGAACGGCCCGTTCTGCAAGCAGAACGGCCTGTACTGTTTTTAGTAAGGCCTGTACTGCAAGCAGAACGACCTATACTGCTTGCAGAACGGGCCGTTCTGAAAGCAGAACGGGGCGTTCTGCAATCAGAACGGGCCTTTTTACAAGAAGAACGGCCCGTTCTAGTGCCGTTCTGTGCGGGGAAGGGGGGTGCTGGGAAGGGAGATGTAAATTTAGAAATTTCATTTTTTTTAAAGGGTAATTTAAACATTTTATATTTTTTTTAAAAGGGAGTGTGTTTATACGAGAGTGAAGGTGTATTTATCATCTGCCAAAATTTTATGATCCAATTTGTCTTATAATGGGCAGCGAGTCAAATGGGTTAGTTCATGGGCTAAATTTTAAAATTTATTAAAATAAATTAGTTTTCGTATAATAAGTTAATACAAGCATTTTTAATAACTATAAACTAAAATAGGAAAATATATTATCATTTATACAATAAAATAATAAAATATAATACATAATAATAGAAATAAAATAAAATAATTAATTGTAACAATATATGAATGTTAAAAATAAAAAATATAACTCAATATGCATAAAATGTTACCTCTAAGATGAACATTAACAATATATATATAAATATTAAATTTATTATTTATTATTTAATAATTAAAATATTATAAAATAAATTGGGTTCATGGTTTGAACCAACTCATTACGGTTAGCCCACTTCGGACTAGTAAAAATTTGGGTTGAGTTGTGATGAGACAAAATAACTTTGACCTAATTTTTTGTAGCCATGGATATGTTTGAATAAGTTTTTTCAGAAACACTTTTGGAAAATAAAAATTAAAATAAGCTTTTTCATAACTAAATTATGCCTAAGTTAAAAATATGGTTTTGGGAATGTTAATAGCAGAAAATTTTTTCACATTAACTTATGAATAAGTTAATTTTAACTTATGGAAAAAATTTCATTTTTCTTTCTTAAAAATACTTATAAGAAAGCTTATCTAAACAAATTCTATATCTTTATTATTATGAAATATCTATTGATTAATGTGTTAACGGAAAAATTTAACCGACCAGTTTTGGTAAAAAAATTTCTTCTTAATCACCTTTTTTTATTCATAAGACTTGAATATGTAATCTTACAAAAATTTGAACTCAATTTTAATAATTAACATAATATTTATAATTTAATTGAAAAAATTGATAGATTATTATGCAACTAAAATGCATTTGACTTTTATAATGATTGTTTTAAAAATTATATCAAAAGTAATTTCTAATTTATTCACCTGTAATATATCAAAATTAAACTAAAACTAAAAATATTCTCCCTCATAATAGGTTTCGAGGGGAAATAGATATAGATATTATAAATTCCCATTGTACATATTTATCATGGGAAAATAAGCTTAATTTTTAACTTAATGTCAACCGGATAACTTATATATATATATATATCTTGCCCTAATTTCATCTCTATACATGGGTTCGTAATTCATTTTATTCTTTCACCAAGTTGTTAATTTTTTTCATCTTCTGGTACCTACTATATGTTCCTTATAAATATACACTGAAGAACTGATACCTTAGCTCTCAAAGCTTCGACATCAGATTTTAGGACTCGATTATTCGTATCAGCCTCACGAAATTGTTGGCTTGCATCTGTAAGCTGCTTAAATAGGTTTGCATTTTCCAGTCTCAGCCGTTCAACCTAAGAACACAAAATTCAAAGTTTCACAATGATTACCTGAGTCATATCAAGGATCTACATGATTGAATTTCTAAAATAACAAGAACGAATCTATGAGGAAGAAGGAGAAAAAATAAAATAAAATAAACATACGTTATTCTTTTAATAAATTATAAAATGATATATTTTTTATATAAGAAATTAGAGTTTATGCATGTAAGTTTAAAAAATATTGAGAAAGAAGGGCAAGGACTATGTTTACCCTCCTTCCACATCCGTTCTACCTGAAAAAAAAAAAAAGAGAATTACAAGATTTAAACAAAGGGCAAAAATTGTTTGACGTCATTTTATGTTGAGTACTATTTATTAATGCATTCTCAGCCACATTCCTTTTATGTTTATTATTATCGGTTAAAATTTATAAAAAAAAATTCATAAAATTACAATTAGTGGGACTTGTTAAATAAAATGAAAGTGAGTAAAGATGAGTTGAAATGAATTTATTCTTGTTCTTACTCGACCCAAAAATTGATTGTAATTTTTTTTATTTAAATCCGAACTAATCCAATTAAGATCTAAAATATTTGAGATGGACTCAATCAATTCGACATTTTAATTCAGTATATTAATATTAGTATGTATAGTTAAATTATGAAATAAAAAAGATATAAACTTAAATTGAGGTATATTTTATGATATATTTTAAAATAAATAATTTCCTTATAAATATAGTATAATGTTACACAAAAGTACTATCTATTAAAAAATATTTTATTATTAATACATAATTATTTTAAAAATTAATATTTTAGTATGTACAATACAAGTGTTAAATATTTATTTTATATAACTAAAATTTATAATAAATTAGATATAAAAAAAAACACCATGCTTGGATATATAAAATATATTTATAATTAATTTGTATAAATAGATATTTTTAAACATAAACATTATATTTTAGATTTATGATAAATAATTTATACTATAGCATGAGATTATTTTTATATATCAATGATTTATTTTAAAATATTAAAATTTAATTTATTAATAATAATGATAAATAAAAATAGAATTAGATAATAAGTTAAGAAAACTCCTAAAATCCATCTCATCGAGAAAAAAATTTAAAAATGCTCTCATACAAAAAAAAAGTATTTGTATTTAATATATGTGAGTTAATTTATATATTTTAAAATAATAAATGATGGGTTAAGACAATCCGAAGTATAATCGAGACTTGTTTTAAAAATTATATTAAATTTAGTTTTAACACTCAAATCTATCTAAACCAACAAAGGACATGATTGGGTCCATAAATGGATTGACTTTTACTCATCCCTAAAATAAAGTGTGATCACAAAATATATAATTTTTAATATATTGTAAAAACATGTTTAAAATGATATAATATAGAATTAAAAAGTGTTGTTAGCATAGTTCTTATAGGTTATATACAATATTGTATTGAAGAAGAGAGACAAGAGACAATAAGAATAAAAACTTTGGTGAATGATGTGATAAAAAAAAAGAAAAAAAAGAAAAGGGTGTAAGGAGAAGTGAAAGAAGAAAGTGTGAAAACATAAAAAGAGGTTTTAGATAAATGAATTACTTGCCACTCGAGGTCAGCCAAATGGGCTTGTTTTCTTCTTCTGGACCTCCTTGCAGACTCGCGATTAGAAAACTTCCTGAAATCATAATAATCAAGGGCAAATAAATACATTGAACATAGTTTATAATTAGCTTGAAATGGTTGAGATATCATACATATTATTTTTTAATTTATAAAGCAACAAAGTTTAAATATAGAGTCTTGTGCATATATATTACAATTATATCAATATTTAACCCTAATAATTTAGTTGAGACATGAAACCTATTTGAATACATTAATTCAGTTTAAAAAACTTTTGAAAATTTTATTATTGAAAAATAAAGAGTATTTTTCAGTAGAATACCTTCTGAGACGTTTTATATCAATAGCGTTAGTGCCTGCTTCATCTTCATCAGATGGGTCACGTGAGGAACCACTTGTTGTTGTGTTTCCTTTGACTTTTTCATTTTCTGTGCTGTTTGGTTTGTTTGCAGACACTGGGCTCCCAACTGCAACATGCCCATTAACCAATTCAATCCTAAATCTTCAACCATTCACAAACTATATATACACTAATCATATTTGGACACCTTTTGATTGTAAACATTTTGTTAATACTTTATTACTTTTTTCTTCCTATCCTATGACATCATGTCACAAATCTTTTTTGTATACCCCAAAAACATACCCTACTTGTTGCATTATTTGAACTTCAAATAATTGGTACTGTAGACATGAGACAGATTTTATATGCAAAATAGAAAGGACACATAATAATTATGTAACCCATGCATGCACAATCCTACTTGACATGAATCACTTTTAATAATAAAAAAAATAAAAGTTTAGGAAAGACTTTTTATGTCCATTAATTTGTTTCAGTTTTTCTTAAAAGAATCTATTCTTTTCTAAAAATTATTTTTGTTTTTTTAGTTTTCCATGTATCTGTTTCAGTTTTTCAAAATAATTATAAGTTAAAAAATTTAAAATTAGAAGTTATATCGAATAATTTATCATAAAATCAATTTTTTAATTAATTTTTATTGTAAATTAACAATAATTATAGCTTCTACCTTTTCTAAAAATCTTTAGTTAAAAATCATTGTAAGAAACTAACCCTTTATCTAATCAAGAGAAGAAAAAAAAAATATACGAGCAGAAATTTAGTGTGACAGCTTAAATATAAATTTTGAAAGTAATTATCACAAAAGCTAATAATATTTTACAACAAGCAGCTAAGTGCCACTTTATGATTACATAATCATGGCAAAAACCAACCTTATTAATTTGTATGCATTTTAATTAAATTCATGTTGTAAAATCTATTTTCATGTCATTCAACTTTTAATTAGGTGGTGTTGTGGTTATCAATCAAAAGTATTAGTGCCTGTGTAAGAGATGAAAACTTGATATAAAATCAGTTTAGATAGGTTAAAAACGTTTTTGAGAATTTTTTTTCCCAAAAACACAAAATAATTTTTAATAAAGAAACTTTTAATAAATTTATATCCAACTCATATGTGCATATATATTACTATAGAAAATTATATTACCAGTACCACAAATAGAGGACTGAGAATCAATAGTTGCAGAGATGGTGGATTGCAAGGGAGTGAGGTTTTGGGAGCAAACAAAGGTATCATCTGTTACTCCTGTTCCACCACATGTAGTCGAAAATGCTGTTACTGCATCCTGCAATTATCAACAACACCTTACATAAGTGTCAACTTATATTTTAACTATGTTTAGTTACAAATTAAAAGTATTTATTTAGAGTTTCTCTATTTTAAAAAAATATTTTTATTTTCAGTAAAGAAAATCTTCTAAAAGCTTGTAAACAAACAAATTCTTTTATCATCAATTTCTAAAGTTATTTGGCACTAATAATACCTTCTTCAAGTCTTACCCTTCATTGTCTCATCATTTTTTACCCTTTCTATCTTAACTAGTATAGGTTTTTCGTAAGAAAAATGTTATTTGTATGATAGTATTTTCAACAAATTGTACAATAATAAATGAGAAGCTGAGGCAAAACGAAAGAGAGTGAAAAAGAAAAAGTTAGAGGTGATAAATGATAGAATGAAAAAAGATAAACAAAAATATTGTTGTATGAATACATAGCATAATTTTCTTTTATTGTTCTTGTTTTTAACATGCAAAAGGTACAAAATAAAGCACTTAAAAGATAAGCTATACAAGGACTGAAGGAAGAAACAAAAGCCTCCACCTCCACCTCCACCAGCCAAAAGCCTTTTCAATGGACCCATTTAGATCGTGCGCAATAATATCTTCATCACTTTATAAAAAGTAATGTGTTATTCTTTCGGAAGCAATTGGAAAAGCACCTAGTGGATGCAATTTACTGTGGGAGGAAACAAATATAAAATACCTTAAATTTTACACCCATTTTAAATAATTTTGTTTCTGTCTTTTCACATACTCGTTATATTTATTATTTATTCTTCCAACGTTGTATACATCTTTATCTATCTAGATGTTTATCTATAATAGCAAGGGAGATTTAAAGTTTTTTATTTAACCACAGTTGGGAATTTATTATTTACATGTATGTGAATAAAAAAGGTACCAAAGTAGTAAAACTTAGTTGGTTAATGAGTGTATGATGTTGTGAATCTCCTTATATGAAACTCGATTTTCTTAATTAAAAAAAAAAGAGGAATAAAAAAGATATAATAGATTTGAGATTTATATATAAATAAAAGAATAAAGGAAAGACCCATATCGCTTTGTTTTATTCTTTTCTTCTTTAGCGGATACACAGAGCAAACGAAAATTTTTGTATATGAATTGCAAAGTCATCCTTGAATCATTCTTGATATCTGCTATGCAACGAAGTTAATTTGAGAAGACATCATTAATGGAATTTGATTGGTCGTCATATTTGTTATATATGTGATTATATAAAAAAAATTTATCATATAATATTACATATTTTATAGTGACACAATACTTATTATTAAAAATTATTTTTAATTATACTATACATAATATATATTGATATATTTTAAAAAAGTATAAGTTATAATATCACATAATGTATGTTATTGAATCTCATTTGAAATTAATATTAAAAATTTGTATAATTACATATCAAATAGATTTATTCATACATATATTATATTTATAATAATACTTTTTGTATGTTACTATATATAATATTTTTTATAGTGCCTTTCTCATGAATAATTTGTGGTGGATGAAATATTTATTTCAAATTTTCAATCAATTTAACCCAATAACTAGCTTTTTAATTATGATTTCTCCAAATATTTCTTAAAAGCAAGAATTTATAAAATTATAAACATTTTTTTTATTAAAAAATACACGAATAATGAAGAGAAAAGTTCAAATAAGGGGAATGTTAAAAATACAAAAAGAGAGGGAAAAAAAAAAGATAATGTTTAGATCCAAAGTGTGAAGTACTGCGTTCCCACGAGTTGTGAAGAGAAAAGCTAGTAATAATGAAGAAGGCATGTCTTATGTCTTGTTGTTCACAAAACAACTCCTGCTGACGTGGCTTTCACCTTTTTCATTTGCCTTTTTGTTCAACTAATATCCCCAACGTTATTTCTTTATTCCTCTAGTCTTCCTCTTCCTCTACCTAAACCACACACACCATCTATATATAATCTTTTTCTTCCTTCTTCAATTCATGCATCAATTTGAGAACACAAACCAATTCTACTTCAACCAGCTTTCTTCCTTTCTCCACCATCCATTCTTTTCACACAAATTTAAGGATTATTTTCTCAATTAGTTAGACTAAAAGTGTTTAACTACAACTTTATAAAGTGTCTCATGTTTTTTATTTTTGATACAAAAATTTTCAAAACACTTAATTTTAACTTCTATTTAAATAAGTTTTACATATTAAAGTTGAAACCAATATATATGAAGACAAAATAAATCATGAATACTTGGACGAAATTAAGTGATGTTCTAGGATGAAATTCGAGATATCACCCTAGTATAGTATGGATAATATTAATAAAGGCTTTTAGGTTAACATACAGAAGAAATAAAACTTTGATTCTAATCGATAAAATAAAAAATTATAAAATTACATCTATGTTTTAAGAATAATCATTATTAATAATAGTAAAAAAAAAGTCAGCTTTAACATGATTTTCATAGTGATTATTATTAAAATAACAAATTTGTAATAGTTTATAATTTAATGGTAGTATAAATAATAACTTTTGAAAAACTGAATACATCATATTACTGAAATGAATTAATATTATAAAAGAGTTTTATATGATCCTTCATAAGCATTAAAGTATGAGTTTGATATGAAACATGTTATTAATTTTATAAGTTAAGTTAGGAATAGTAAGTGTTGTGGGTGAGAGAAGAGTAAGTAACTAACCAGATTTTGGAAAGCTTGGTTGAGGTGAGAGGTGAAGGGATCGGACTTGCAAGGTTTGACGTCGTCGTTTGAGATTTCGGGGTCGAGGATCGACGCGATCCACTTAAAGTCGTCGATGTGCGCCGCCGTCATAACGCCGGCGCCGCCCCACTTGCCGCCATCCATTTCACCGGAAAATTAAGAAAGAACACGAGAGTAGTGGGAGAGGGAAAAGGGAATAAGAGAAGCTGTTTCATGGGTATAAATAGAAATCAAAACTGCTTACGTGGCAACTCATACCTTCTTCTACATTACAAACAAATTTCATCACTTTAATATTTTTATATTCTTAATTTTTTTCTTCCAAAATACCTTTTTAATTTCAATATATAATTTTATTGATTTTACTTTTTAGTAGTATATTTATGTTTTTTAATGAATAAATACTCTAATTGGTCCCTAAATTTGAAAGGAGTTGTCATATTAATTACTGAAATTAAAAAATTATTAAAAATATTCCTAAAAGTGATTAAAGTAATAATTTTAATATATATTAAGGAAATAAAAAGACACTAAGTAATTAAATTTAAGGACTTATTTGACATTCTAGAGACTTATTTGACAATATCTTAGTTTTAGAGACTAATATGAGATTGCTTTATAAATTTAGGGATCAAAATGAGTGTATATTTATTTTTAGTTCTTGTCATTAATTTCTTTGTGATGTCATTTTTGTGTGAATGATGTGGATTTATTAGATACATGTGATGGTGATGAATTTAATTTTATGGACAATCATGTGTCACTTATTGGTTTGTGAGAGAAAAATGTAGGAATTGAATGATTTTGTGTACAATCAATATTTACTATGAACGAATGTTACCCCAATGAACATTCAAATTGTTGATGACTGCATAGCACCTAAACCATTAGGTGGCAAATTGCAATCTAAAAACCAAATATATTAATGCCACGTGGATTTAATAAATCCACAACCTACATCACTCATATAGAAATTATATTATAAAAAAATTAATAATAAAGACTAAAAAATATTAAAATAACATAAATATAAAAACTAAGAAAATTATTTTAAATTATATAAATTAAAAGATAAAGTATGTAAATTTACTATTAGAGAATTATTGTTCTACGACAATAATTCTACATCTGTTATATAAAAATTAATATAAAAAATGAACATAGTAACATTTTTGTAATTAAATATAAAAGATTATGATAATTACATCAATTTTTTAAAATTGATGTGAATATTCTGTCCTTCATTAGTATTCTCATTAATTAATGTAATATTAGAAGTGTTTTACATGGTTTTAGGCTATAACTAATGTAATTTGAATCCTCCTTCTAATTATAGTGTCCAAACTATAGAAACATATTCAATACCCAACCTCACATTAAACTTGTTCTCCGACAACACTCAAGGTCGAAAAGTTTTACCTCAACAACACCTGAACTCAAATCCCATAATCTCAACACCCACCTCCCAAACTTGGTCTTTTCAACGAAGATTTTCCCCGTCGATCCCAAACTTGAACTCCATAATCACGAAATCATCAAATTCCTTGATCTTAACGACAACGTTATTAATGGAATTTCTCTTGTCATTCTTCTTTTCATTCACCAAATCCTAAATCCAAATTCTCTCTTTGGCTATGACGATAAAGAAATCCAAATCCTCCCTCCGATAAATCCTAAACCCCAAGATTTTAATAATTTTTATATTTTGAACTAATAAAAAATTATTTTAACAAACTTGTATTGTATCTACTATATAACGTTATTATATGAAAATAAAAAAATATTTTGTATGTTAATTAAAATCAAAATAAAATTAATATAAAAAACATATCACAACTTGGGAGTTAGGAGAGAAATTGACTTAAATTTTGATTTTTTTTTAAAATTCAAAAACAGTACAAGAACAGAAAGAAAAGAGAAAAAAATTGATTCTAGTACAAATTTTTAAAGAGAAAGGAGTAAAACAATAAAATTGGACGGCACATGATGTCAAAACGTAGTACCATGAAATGCGCGAAATGGTACAGATTTGTCACGTGTAATTACTTGTTCAGTCCTTCAGAAACCTGAAATAATATAGATTCCAGTTTACTGTAAATCATGTGTTTTTGTATGTTCATTATTAAAATATAATGGTAAAAGGAATGTTACCTACATAATTTAACAGTTTAATACGACTTCATTATTTATGTAAATGACGAAAGTCACCAATTTATTTGTATGAGTCCAAAACATATATATATATATAT